CATCTATTTATCAACTTAGCTTAAGACCCTCTTGAGAGCCATCAACTTCATAATACCAGCAACATCCAGATCACTTTACATGCCACAAAAAGGAATCATTAAATCCTTTGAAGTCACAAGAGCACGGTGTGAATACAGCGAAAATGAACATGAATGGAATATAAATTTTCATTTTTCACATGTGGTTTTATGAAGCACCTTTTTTCCTGTGCCGTTTCATTTTACACTTTCTTGTCATTTCTCAACGTTAAAGGAAGCACTGAGAAAATGCTCGCGATTTTTCAAAAAAAAAGGAAAGAAAAACTTTAAAGGTTTTAGTTATGTATTATTTACTCTTTTAAAGGATATGATGGGGATTGAAAAAGTTTGGTTTAAAGATCTTTAAAGTCTTGGATGATGTGAAACTTAAATTCTTGTGATTGAGATCGAGACTTTTCAGGACTTCCCAAAATAAAGAAGAATGTGTCGTAAAGTCGTTGAATACTTCAATTGCTCTGTTTATCAACAATAACTTGATAATTAGACCCAAAAGATATAAAGTCTTAAACTTTGTCATGCCGTGATTTTCAATTGCCACAAATTTTCCCACAAGTGCTTTTCAAACTTTTTTTATCAAATAAATATTACATATGAACATTTTACAGAGTCATGCATTGCGATCAAGGAAGGAACTTAACGAAAACAAGTAAATTGCGTACTTAGAAGTTATGAAGCACCGAAATAAATTGGTTTTGCAAATTACACGAGAATCAAATCGATATCGAATGCCATTTTAGTAAAAATATATTCCATTCAAAGATTGTAGGTTTCTGCCTGACTTCATTCGAAAATTAAAAGCTTTTTATGTTCACTGGAGGTATTGACTTTATAAATTCAACTGGGTCATATTTTGATTGATATTGAAATGCATTAAATACTCTCAAATAAACTTACTTTACATCATCAATATGAGCTACAGCGTACAGTAGCCTAGAATACCCCTTGTAAAGCCACACTCTGAAATTCAAGAGCTTCATTGTTCACCTAGCAAATTTCACGCAATTCGCACTTTAAAGAATTCAATCTTGTTTATAAAGTGCACAGCTTGCATAGGGTCGTTCAATTATGACGACCGAAATTAACGGTCATTTTTCAAAAACGAACAATAAATTTCCAGGAATTTCTATTGTTCTTTTCTGTCTTACCCCCCCCCCCCCCCTGGACGTCATAAGTGAACGGCCCCATAATAGTTTCACATTTCTACTGTACGAAAAAGGAAGTACACAATTCCTCTGGCAAAATATCCTCATCTAAATTTTTTATCCATCAATTGACTTTAAAGCTCACGCATTTGAGTTTTCAGCACATTGTTGTTTTCCGAAAAAAAAAACTTACGGTAAATATTGAAATTTTAACAATATAGTCATAGACTTCGATTTTCAGACTGAAAAGCCTCTTTTTATTGTACAATGAGTACATTGAGGATGTTTAAAAGCTTTTTGTTCAACAACAATTTTGGAAAATTTCATTCTTCAGTCATACATACATATAGGAGTTTTGAAAATGTTATAAAATGAACTAAATAGGTAAAATGGATGTATCAAGTGGCAATATATGCATAAAAACATAAGCTCATTGTTATGTTCTCATTGTATGATTTTGCATAATAATACTAAGCTTTTGTTATAGTAGTGAAGGTATGCAAACATAATTTATGCAAAATAGATGTTGAGTGAGAAAATTTAAAAAGGTAGAAAAAAATCTTTCAGCACAAAAGATAGAAACTGATCCATGCATTCATGTAGAAAATTTTTTGGTTATGCAAATATTGTGAAATTATAATACATTATTATTATTATTATCATTTTATAATATAAAGAATCAAGCTTGTTTGATGTTAAGTTTTATATTATGTTTTTTGATGCAATAAAGCAAGTTCTATCGAATTCTACAGTTAGAAGATCCTGTCGTAGAGTTTTAGAGTTGAAGGACTTCCTTGAACATTTACAGCATTTTAAAGTGACAATTAAACTTCACTGAAGTGTCCAAAATTCAATTACTGGAAAGAATTTTTGAGTTTTGTTCACAAAAATATCTCTATGGCTTAACATCAGCAACCAATTCAAGCAAAGGATTTCACCTCAAATCAAGGGGAAAACAACATGATGATAAAAGATTTTAAAATCGATGAAAATTTTAATCAAATACTTTTCCAAACATGTTGTTTTCCCCTCACCCCAAACTCTATTCAAAACATTCATTAATGTTTAATTCAATTCAGTTCTCTGGTGAGAAGCTTTGTTTATGAATACTTAATGTTTAATCTGTTTGTATTGTTCAGCTACAGCTATTTTGGTGAAATAGTATCTAATGTGCTTTGTTATGCTTCATTAGAGAATATTTTAAAGATGTTCTTGGTCTTCGTGTCTGTTTATGGCTTGCATTTATGAAAATTTAATAATTTTGACAATATATCTAAGTTCTTCTTATTGAAGTTGAAGGAACTAGTGACACAATTAGTTTACAATTTAATATGCAGGATGATGATGCAATGACACAAGTACCAGAAAGATGAAAGTTCAAGGATCTTTAAAAATAAAATCAATCTTTTTTCCTACAATAAGAAATTTATTTTATCAAAGAATTTCCGAAAAATAAAAGTATTGAATTTCAAGATCGAGACTTTTTGAACTAAAAGTCCATAGTGATGAACTCAAATGTCAAAGTCCCCGATAAAAATGAAGAAAAAAAATCATTAAATTCGTTGAAATCCAATAATCTTGAGAAAAGTCTGAGCCAAAATGCACAAGTTTCCATTGACATTATCCATAGAATATAAAATATCATTTAGGTCGTTTGGATATTGAGTAACGTTAGGAATGGTCATTAATTCCCCAATTCCTTCAGTCAATACTCGTTATTAGATCTTGAATATAATTTGTGACTGCTGATTTGCAGCTCAGGGAGGAAAATCGTGACGTAACCGACAAATGAGCTCAATTCTTATACTTTCTTCTTAATCACGTCAAAGTGTCATGTCCTTGAGCTAAAAATTGATTACAACAATTCTTATCGTCGCTAAATTATGCGTGTACATTAAAATAGCTTTTCTCATCGAAAAAGTTTTCCATCTTCTTTGTTACTGCTGCTGCTCGAAGAACATTATGAATTTTTATCGTCATTGTTATTCACAAGCATTAAACGAATATATCTTATTCAATTCCCATCCATTTCAGCTACTTTTACATCTCGTCTATTCTCATTTAATCTTGAAAAATTTATTTTTATAATGTGATGATTATACATAGAAATTGAATGATGATGTTGGATGTTGATGATATGTTTCTCTTTCATTTTTATGTGTTGTATCACTAAAGACTCTATACAATGTCATGACACATTCCCGACAATTTTTTTTTTAAAAAAAAACGTGATTTATGCTTTACGATTATCTCGCAGGAAGTTTCTCCTTTGTTCGTCATCGTCGCGTACATTTCAACTTCTATTTTTACTCCATCCTTTTCTACATTGTTTGCATGTCATAGTCTAACATCACTCATTCATGTATGTTTCAACATATTTTATAATTTACCCACTTAACATTTCTATTAGATTCCATTATTCATTAGTGATTTATGTTAGTGTGTGTTATTTATTGTATCCTAGTCATACACTTACTTGCATCAAGCATGCTAGAAACTATTTAAATTTCTGCAAAATTCTTTAAAATTGTTCAAGCATTAAAATTTTCTTCTTGGAGCTAAAATCACTCGAGAGAGAAAATTATCGTATTGGGATGTCCATATGAGCTTGACTCTGGGTCGATGACTTTATTGAGGGATTCTTAATGTATTGTAAAGTTTTGATACTTTTATTGCTGTTGCTGAGAATCTTGCAAACTGGATATCTTGGTGGTCATACTTTCTTGGTATTGGAAGGAACGTGAATAAATGGTCCTTCCGTTACAGAAACCAACTGACTCAATCTTCATTTAGGCCATTATTGCCTTTGTGGACCTAAAAACACCCAAAACATTTAAGATCAAAAATATCTTAAACCTTTAACTTGAAAGCAGTGCCCAACAGCAGCTGAATAAAAATTCTCCTATGGACATCCCACAAAATTGATTGACGGAAGGTTATTCAGGTAGAAAATCTCTCAACAACTTCCTCATACATTTTACAACAACACTTGTCTGACATTCACTTCATGTCTACAAATGAATGCATTATTCACTTCACATTGCCTGCATATTTTGTACATGTCTAAGGAATCTTAAAGCCATATGCCTGTTCTCAACATTTGCTTTGCAGATTCATTATATCGTACATAAGCATCATATATGCATCATTAAATTGATTTTCCATCTCTCTCACTCTCTCCCAGAACTGAAACAATAACTTTTCGTATACGTATTGTTGCAATTAAGACAAATAGAAATGCATGTTAATGATCACAAGCGAATGTGTGTATCGAGAAATAAATTAAATTTAAAGTTCAATTAAATGCATATTGTGTGATTGAAGGGAGGACTTGATTACGTATGTAGGTGGAAAGGTAAGAATTGCATATTTTGTTGTCGTTTGATGATCCTTGAGAAATGTTAATGAGCTGCACTAAATGAAACAAAAGACAAATTTCCATGTTAAATGCTGCTAAGTGATTCAATTTTATGATGTGAAACAGGTTGGCTTTTGGTTTCAGAAAATTAAATTATATGCGAGAGATAGTGCAGACTGTGCAGTTAGACAGGAAATTAATACGTCGGTAAAACATTATGAAAATGTTCAATTATGAGTATCATAAGTTGAGATGTGTCACAAATGCGCTATAGTTTTGGTCAAAGCTCAAATTGGCACAGTATCAGTCACCTTGAGTCGAATTACGGATTCCGAGAAGTTCTTCCTTCTTCTTCCACTGATCTATTAAGGGTTACGTGAACATTTTCAAAAGAAAAGTTATTGATAAATTTTGTACAACATTCCCAGCCACAAAAGCCAATTGAGTAGCAAAACACATGATTCAAGCAGAACCTGCACATAAAAATTATCACATCAAGTCTTTATTATATTTTCTCAGCATGAAACTTTCTCTTAAGCATAAATTAGTCTATAATACATTTTCATTAAAAGCAAAACTTTCATGTGAATAAATTATCTCATTTCAAGCCATACAAGTGACACTTTAAAGAATTCCTTCATCATCTAAAATTCCTCTGAGGATTCTTATTTCATTCCTCAATTCTTTAATGTCCTCGTCGTGAGAAATTTTTAATTTCTCAAAACTTTCCTTGAGACTTTTAAGCTCGTCTTCAAGTCTCGTATTTTTATCGATTTTTGCCTCAACTTTCTGTAAATTCAAGTTGACAAGAAGTGGGGGATGTTTGTCTTGGGCTTTTACTAATTGATATGTACTTAATTCTACAGATCCTTTTATGTTTGTGAAAATCATATCGAGAACTTTATCGTCTTTGTTATGTATTCGATTAATTTGTTTAAGTCCTTGTGTACATTTGTCCATTACATCCAATTTTGATCCTTTCCTCTTACTGACAATGACTTTTTGCTTAAGTTTTCTATAGTCATCGAAATTGAAATCACCAACAATTAAAAATCTCTCTGATTTACGACTCTCGAAATTTGCTTTGAGTTTCATGAAAAATTGCTCGAAATATTCCTTCTTACATTGGGGACGAAGATAGACAATGCAAAGATGTAAATTTTCGCCATTTGTCAAGTTGATTGTCAACCAGAGATCTTCAACTTGAGTTTTGTCATCAACGCAGGATGAAATATCATCGCAAATTTTCACACTTTTGATTATGGAACTTTTTGGGTAGGCAACGAGCAACCCACCACCATGACCTCGTACAGCACGCTCTTGACGATCTCTTCTTATTACTATGAAATCTTTGTCAAATATCTCAGCTGTGTCAATTTCTTTATCGAAATTTGTTTCCACAAAGACAATCAAATTGATTGATTCGCAATTTTTCAATGACTTTTTCAATTGCTCCTGTTTGTGGGCTGTCCGTAAGCCCTCAACATTTTGATAATATATTTTTATATTTTTGAGATTTTCTGATGCATGCGCCATCTGGATTTGAAAATGTCAGTGAGAATAATAATATTAGTAAAATTATATGTGCTTGATGTTGAGGAAGTGTGAGTATCAAAATACTGCAGAGTTATTTGTTGTGATTGTGAAATTTAAAAGATTTTTAGCATTTTTGATAATTTTGAGGAAGTGATGAATCATAAAAAAATCCCAAAAATTCTTAATTATGTTCTTTATTATCATTTGCTAGATTTTTAAGTCTTAAAATTTGTGCAAACTTATAAGCATGAATTAAAATATCATTTTAAGCTGATTGAATTAAAATTTCAAAATTGGATCAAAGTTTCGATTTTGAATTAAATTTGTAAACTTCTACAAAATTTAATCAGTTATTGACTCAAATATTTTTAATCAAGCTGAAAACTTTTAAAGTTTGTCCAAAACTTATAATTGATAAATTCAAATCTTAGCTTTCGAATATAAAGTTATAACTTTTTCTATAGTATTTAAAAATTTAACATTAATTCTTCTTAAAACCATACAAAATAAATCTGATTGCAGCAATATGATCCTCATTAACTTACAAACAAAATACTTACATTGCTTTCTGAACAATCAAAATCCTTATATCTTCACAAAAACACAATTTTCCGGTTTAATTGTAAACAATCCACTTTGAAATACAAAATGTGAATGAAGTGAGAATGTAAAAATGTTTAAGTAGATTTTGCAGTGAGAATTATCAAAATTATCTTTGTGTGCATGTTCTTACAATGTCTGTAAATGTATTAGATTTTAGATTTACAAATTTCATCATAACACGAAAATTCAATGATTTTATTTATAAATGTGCATACCATAAAAAAATGACGTCCATAAAAACATTAAATTTTTCTACCGATTCTTTGAGCTATCTGTTGTCCCTGTCCTAATCACAGAAAAAACTATTTTTAAATCCCAAACTTGATTTAAACTGCTTCCACTGTTACTCCACTGAATTGATAGTTTCAGTTCAAGATATAATTGATCTACTAGAAATAATTCACAGTGCAATGGAACGTCAACATTTAATGAGCTTAATAGCTTCTTACCTCAAAAACCATAAACCAGATCTCGAAGTCAATAGGGTTCGAGTCGACTCTAGTTGAAAAAAAATTGTCAATTTTAAGATTTTAAGCATTAATATTTAATTTCCAGTATTTTTTAAACACGAAGCTAAGAATAAGAATCGTTTGCCTAAGCCTTGTTTTTGCTAGTTTTTGCAAGAAATATTCATGAAAATTTAACGGTTTTTGTAAATTCAAAGCAAAACATAACGGATTTTTCGACGTGTCCGTAGCATGGAATTTTCATACAGAAAAAGTTTATCATTTAACGGTTTTTTAAAATCCAAATTTTGTAACAGCTAGAAAAAATTTGAAACTTTAGAGGTAATGTTGAATTTTTTAAACGTACTCATCACGTGGTTTTGTTTATGAAATAAAAAAATCATTAATTATAGTATAAATACACTGTTTTAAGACTTTTAACTGTTCGATCGGACAATAAACAATAGTAACGGAGCTTATAAAACAAACCTGAGCTCTCTATGATGTCTGGTCAAAAAGTTTTTATTCAGACGAACGAGCAGACAAACGAACATTTCGTATTATTAAGCTCCCTTTTTGTATACGAGTATACAAAAATGCGCTAGAAAACAATAAGAAGTTCATGTAATTTTCTGTAACAACAAATGACACGAACAGCATAAAAATGATCACAAAATCAGGTCTAGTGCTTATGAAATTAGTACATATTCACATTAACAAGACAAGACAAGAGAACTGAAATACAATTACGAATAACTTTTCCCTTCATTTTCACTCATTTCCGAAATTACTTACAAGAAAACATGCTTATCATCTGCAGAGACTGTAAGTCTATAACAAAAGTTTTACTTGTAGAGCAAGAAGCAATAAATTTATGAATATCAGATTGATTCATTGTCAGATACAAGGCATAGAAAAAGGAAGGAAATTTTCTTCTTTTTTTTTGATAAAACTAAAGCCTTTGGGAAATTTTAGATTGTAATTAAAGTTGAGTTTCTGCTGGTTCCTTTTTTTTTGTGGTTGTGAAATTTAATTTCATGATACGCAGAAAAGATGTTCGCGCAATATTAAAAGATGACGGAGCACAAAAAAAATTTCCTGCCTTCCCGAACTTTTCTTTTTTTTTGTGTCCCACACTTTTTGTCTGATAAAACTTACGCCTTTGAAGACATGAAACAGCGTAGGAATCGTTTGATTTTTTCTCTGCTTTGTATCTTTTTTTAACTTCTTTCATTTTCCATCCCTTTTAAGTCTTTATCAAAATTTACTGCAATTTATTTTACGATAACAATCAAAAATGATTCTTAATGAACATCTTACCCTTTTTTTGTGTGTGCTTGATTCTTCTCTCTCTTCATCCTTGAACATTCTTTTATGGTCACCACATTAGGGGAGAGATTGTTTTGTTTTTGAACTTTTTCACATCATTTTATGGATAAATTTGGTTAGTAAACTGCCTCTGACTTACTATCTGTCTTATTGGTTAGACAGACTTATGTTGATCTTCTTCTGAGGGAGGCTATGGATCGCAATTAATATGTAAGGTCATCGAAGTAAGTAAGTATGTTGATCTTCAGTAATGTATTTATAAGTTATAAAGATTAAATGAGCGGTGAAATGGCATCAGTGGCCTAAATGGTAGAGCATTGGCCTTATGTGCCAAAAGTCCTGGGTTCAATCCCAGACCATGTCTAATTTTCGAAGCTCTTTTTCCATTTTCACCGTTTTAGTAACGAAGCTCGGTTCGTGTGCTGGGTGTAGTTTTGAGGTCTTTGGCACTTGTGTCTAGAAACATTGCAGAGTACATCAGGTCTTATGACGTACTCGTGTCTTTGCAATGTGCAGAGCTTGCAAGTGGTTCGGATCCCACTATAAACTGTAGGTCTAAAGGGTGTGGTACAAAAGATTCTGTTCTAATTTGAACCGCAGTGCCTCCAGCTGAAAGGCTGGGCCCTTCACATTATTATTATTATTATTAAGATTAAAAATTGTTGAGAAAAAGAAATTCATCAAATAGTTCGTCCCGAGCGGGGATCGAACCTCGCACCTCTCGATTGCCGGTAAAGTGCTCAGACCACTAAGATTTCGGGTTTTGCCATTGAAACTCTTTGCTTAATGTGGATGTGCCTTGGGACTTACTGTTCAAAGGTTCTAAAGTCATAATCTCTAAATGCGCTGTTAAATCCATTTCATCATTAAACTCTTGTGTGGGCTTTAAATGTTCTACATTTTCATTTGCATAGATTGAATGAAAGGAGACGGAGAAGGTCTTTATTCACACAGTTTCTGTGGCAAAACAATGGACATCACTTTATCAACAAAAAGTGAGTGAAATGTGAAAATTAAGAATAGAACTAGCAAAGCAAAAATGGAAATAATGAAGATGTGACTACAAAAAAAAAACTAAAAGAACAATTAAGACTTTTTGGGAAGGGCTATTGCTAATTTTGTGGTCTTGGTTCAGACATTTTATGAAATAATTTCTTGTTTGACATGTAACAAATGTGAACATTACCTTGCTGGGCTTTATAAGTTTAAAGCTTTTACTAATCTGTCACTTTAGATATTCAAACCAAACTAAGAGAACAAAAGCCACAGAAACTAGTAAATCACATCATTTTATGTGAGGAAAAAAATAAGATGAAGAATCTATTGAGATTTGAACTTATATCTTGGCATATCAACATTAATTAAAGGCAGAGAGTAAAATGAAAATTAGGAAGCAAAAGTTCCTTTTTGGACATTTTTAATTCAATGAAGTTCTAATTAACTTTATCAAATGAAAGGAAATAAATGAGAGAAAGATGCTGAATAAGATAGAAAAATGAATAGAAGAAAAACAACAACAACAAAATAAAAGTTTGTTAAGGAAAAATTAAGTTTTAGGAATTAAATACAATAGGAATGGAAACGAAATATAAATTAAGAAAGAACGACCTTGTATAAAGGCAGAAGTATAAAAGTTGTGTAGTTTTATAAATCATAAAAATGATGGAACAAACAATCCTTGTTATTAATTCATTATAAAACTTCCATAGATTCCACATCTGTTAATATTATTTCCATCGGCTCCTGCACTGTTTCAATTTAAATGGAAATTTATGTGATGTGATGAGTGGAATAGATTAAAAAGAGGATTTAAATTAAAAACAAAGGAGCGCAGGTAAAAATGAAAATGTAGATTTAGGATGACTATGATGTAGTGAAGCTCTCGTGATTAATTGATTCATTCAAGGACTGACATTAACTTTCAGACACGATGAACAAGATGTAAAAAGGGCATTATGGATGATAATTGAAGCTTTTATCATTAATTTCTCTATGAGGATTATTTTTATATGGTTGGAAGGTATGCCAGGGGGAAATTATCACTTGGCTCATCATTCAAAAACATCATTTCAAAAACGAACAATGGATTTCCAGGAATTTCTATTGTTCTTTTCTTTCTGACCCCCCCCCCTAGACGTCACCCCCCCCCCCCCCCCCCTAGATTATTATCAAAAATTCAAGTTAAACCTTAAACTACTGCAGCAATTCTACTTGATTGTATTACAATGTAAAGTGTTGAATATTTCAAAGTCACAGTACGCTATCAAGCTTCCGCAAACAGTCTCAGCATAAGCAAATATTGAAAATGCACAATGTAACAATGTAAAATTTAATATTCATAAACCAATATTGAAAGCTCTTTAAATTACTTCCATTCCAAGCTGTGTAAGGTACAGTTTTAATTGCTTTTAATGAGCGTCAAATGCACTTGTGTGTAACCTATGCGCACGTTATTTCTAAAGTTTATTAGTTATGAAATTTAATTACTTTTTCCTTCTCTGTTCATTGAAAAAGTTTTGCTTTAATTTGCCATCACATCTACAATTTTACTTTATTCAATCAATAAGTTTATTTTTCAATTTAATAGTTGAAGTTTGCTTGTCTCGGTAATATTAAACTACTTACCTTGCTGAATGAGTACTCTTGACCTCATTTGAATTGGAAAATTGCTTTGGGAACTGGAACTTTTTAATTTGAGTTGAATTTGTTCAAGAAAATAGAATTTATGAATGCTGGATTCAAAATATCAAAATTCACTTGATTGATTCCTCAAACTAGAATTTCATCTCAATTTTGTAAATTTCTGCAAAATTTAATAAAGCCAGGAAGTTCGATAATAAGTAAAGTGATAATTAAATGAGGTTTTTGATCTGAAAAATCAATTTTTTGGTCGATCATTGTTTATAGATATTATCGTTACTTTCCTTTATTGACTTTCTTCTTGCAACTCTTGTTGATGTATTCTTGATGTCTTGCTGAGTTTGTTTTGTTTAAGTCCTTTCAAAAAGGTCAATAACAGGATTAAATATTATAAATGAATGGAATTAAAATTGAAATTTTAATGTAGGTTGATTCCTTTCAGCTTCTTTATATTTCATAATATTGAGTTCAATGGCTTTAAAGTAAGTAGTCAGATTCTCTTTATTCTTAGCATCTGAAACGATTATTAAATTCTGAAAATAATAAATATTTTAGTTCCAACTCTCCATTGTAAAAATTCCTGATTCTTGAAGTGGAAAATGAGTAAGAAATCAAGACGAAGAAAAGTT